GGGGTGAGTGTTTCTTTCTGCATTGGGTTGTTTTTTGAAAGGGTTTTTTTGTGGAGGGGGGCTTTCCGTTGTTCTTTTGAAGTTATTTTTGCTTTCCTTTCAACTAACATGGAAAGATCAATGTAATTATGGGAAATATTAAATCAAGGTAAATATGTTAACTGACAACCAAGAAAAATATTGACCCAATAATTATGATACAGTGGGGTTTTGTGTGTGGCTTTTTTCAATTTGAAGTATATTGCACACAATTAAGTCATTTAAATGTGAGCCTCTTGGCCTGGTTGAATGATGAGAGAAGGAAGAAAACAGTGAAGAATGGGATCTTTGGAATCAAACACATGTCTTATGTGTGCCATGGCTTAGAGCCTAATCACTGCACCATAGATACAGGTATGTCCGTTTTAGCTTGACCCAAGTCCAGAGCCATGGAATCTCCATATTATGTTCAGGATTATGCAAATGTGAAGTACTCCACTGGTGTGGCAGGTATCATGCCCCCCCCCCCCGTTTTCTGCATGATAAAGTAAACATCCAACTCGTGTTATTGCTTAGTAAATAAAAGCAAAAATAAAACGTACAGACACATACACAAATACACAAACACACACACACACACACACACACACACACACACGCACACACGCACACACACACAAACACATACACACATTCCCCGAGGTAAAGTATACATACAGTTTGTACTGTTGCCATAAACAATTTGTTTGTGTAAAGCACATCGACACGACGACTGCCATTTACGACATGAAAAGAGAAAGCCAGACACACAGGCAGAAACAGTAGAGGAAAAGATAGATGTAGGAACTATCTGTGACGCCATCTAACCACTCTCAACTTTATCTTTCTGTCACCAGATATTAAGAATTACGTGTATAAAATGATGTACTACTCTGATGTGTCAGAATATCCCACAACCCCCCCCTCTCTCTCTCTCTCTCTCTCTCTCTCTCTCTCTCTCTCTCTCTCTCTCTCCCCCCCCTTTTTTTTTTCTCTCTTCATTATAAAGTATACATCCAATTTGGCTTACCACTGTAAATCTGCTCTAGAGTCAGTTACTTTTCTGATAAATGTAGGCAATGCGCTTTTTTCACGCTATCATGACCTTTTTTTGATACTTTGGCGCCAAAACTAATACAGGCATAACTTACTCAATGACGGAGGAAGAGGGAATAAAAACATCGAAGAAAGTGTCATCATAGTTTCTGTCGCTATAACTTTTTCGATGACCGTGCTTCTCAGGGTTTTCAGTATGAGTAAAGAGAAGCACATAGACACAATACCAGTCATTCAGTCATTCAGTAATAGGACGAAAGATCAAGGTGAACAGAAGCAACAGAGGGGAAGTAATCAAATAGGATCTTCAGGTAGATGAGTCATACCAGCCTCACATAGTATATTTTAAAAACCAAACCATCGGTTTTGTACTAACTTGGAATGTCTCCCACGGTCACTATCAAAACCATCATATCCGTCTATTCGACAGAAACTCACCTACGTTACATTATTTCTGTATTATACAACAGCTAACACTGCATGTACTATCAGAATACGAATTATTTCCCTATTCTAAACAAAATTATTATTAACAATAATGTTCATTTATATCATATAACGTGTGTGTCGGTGGGTCTGTTTGTAAGTGTAAATGTAAGCATAATGTACCTATTATGTATATGTGTGTGGAACGAAAGGATTTGGAGAGACTAGATTCTATGTGTGCATGTGCATGTGTGTGTGTGTGTGTGTGTGTGTGTGTGTG